AAGTCTGTTTCACCCAACGGGGGAGTTACCGAGACAGGCACGTTAGCATCAGAGTTCACCTGCCAGTTTGGCCTCGGTGTGACCGCATTTGTAGCCGAAGAAAAATTATTGTAATCAGTGAATTTATAGCTCTACACTAGAGTCCAGCCCCCTCTATCTGTTTCCATGTCACAGTAAGCCCTGAAAGCCTTGTCCTGGGATCCATCATCTGGATTAATCCAATAACCACCAGAGGCAAGAGAGGGGAGTTGGTTGCGAAGGTTCTGGCACGAGGAAACTGTTGACATGACAGTTGAGAAAAGCCTAAATATGGTATGACATGTCTAGAGATTAAGTGCATAATTATGATAAAAAAAGAATAACAAGATTTCAAAGTGTGCAAGTACAATATTACTTCCCTTTTTCGGTCGCAATACGCGAAATTTTGAGATTTGCTCATTTTAAGGATAATAACGTGGACATGTTAGCGTAAAAGTAAATACGTTTCATTCAAGACCAAAGTTCAGTTGCATCTCGTAGATGAGGATGTCTTCTTCACTCGGAAGACTTTTCTTCTTCAGAAATTACGATTACTTAAGATAAAGACAACTAAAACGATATAAAATCAAAGAGCTGTATTGGGTCACGTACAAAGATATATTTTCAATGACCTACCCAATGAACTGGAGATTCCTGGAAGCTTATTCTGTAAAGTAAATCGACTCTGTTAAGGACACTAGATTACATAATAATTGTCTCTTTATCTCCAAATCTTAGTTATGAACGTAGTTACATTGTTTACTTCTGTTTTTATTGATTTTTAATCGTATCTTTAAGCGTCATCACGCGCGTAACATATAAAATCTGAGTTAGCGTTCCCTTTTAATTAAAGTAGTTTTTCGTTCGATTTCACGTGGACTAGTCAACCTCGAACACTCAAAGTTTCTTGATTCTTAACCCTTGGCTCAAGCGAAACCGGCATTTTACGACGATTCATTTTGATGCAATAAATCGTCGAATAAAAGTCAACTTTGGTATATCGTGCCTTACATGTTTTTGGAGTAGACCTGAAAAGTAGTCCCACCCATTAGACGCAACACGCCCAGAGTTCGTTTGGTTTGGTCTCGTTTTGATTGGAACTTGGCAGTCCGATGGTTGCAAGCGCAACACATACGCTTTGGTTATTCTATAGTATTGTGTTTAAACAGAAGTATTCATAAACTCATTGTTTAAATCAAAACGTTTAAAAGATAAATTACCTTTCTCACATAGAAGGATCCCTCTCGTTTTGAAAGTTTTCCTGTCAGATGAGTTTGTTCTTTTCCAAGGAGTAAACAGGATCTTTGGTTTTCCAAGAAATTTGCACTTTCACAACCAGCTTCCCTCGCACACAGCAACGAACAGGTCTGTAAAGAGTCAGCTTTGGCATCCCACTGAGTATCAGCAGAAAGAAAACTGTTTTCTTTTATTTCAAAGTAGACTCCCTGAGGAGATTGTGAAGTCATTATCATGGCCGGTATGAACAGAATTATTGTGGCAAATAATACAAGCAACATCTGTGAAATTGTAACAACATGAGATGAACGGTTAGCTAACGCATAGACTGCTGTTTTATTGAGAATAAGTTATTCAAAAGCAGAGGTTAGATGGGAGGATTAGTTAACTTTTTCTCGGTGTAATCCAATCTACAGATTGTAGCCGTACTGAATCAATCCTTTCTTTACNCTCGACATACCTGCGTGGCCCGTGCGACGAAATAACTTCACGGGATTGGCAAAGTTTCAGTCACAGCAAATTATGCAAAAAATCTAGAAAGATTTAAGCTTAAATCTCGTTTAACGTTTAAAGCGACATATCAATGACTGCAACCATCGTGTTGCATACAAACCTCGCAAACTTTAAAGCACGTTCTCTAGTGATAACTGCGAAAGTATTCAGTATAATTTCCGGTAAGATTTTCGCGGACATGATCGATTTCTCTTACATTGTGTGCTGAGACTGAAACTTTTCACCTCAAGCAAATCTCCGTCGCATAGTCTAACCAAACATTGCGAGCAACTGAGCTACTAGTGTATGTCCGTGTTAAAACACACGAAAGGACTCTAAAACACACTTCACTTTGATTGGGCAGAAAAACACAAAGATTTTCTGGCACCAATCAGATGGCAGAACGACTGCGACCATTTGGAACTAGTCTTGTAAGATAATGTCCCCAGGGGCTCTTCATGCCCTCACTTGAAATCGACCCACAGCCCCTGGGTCTCCGAGGATGGTTACGATGATGTGTTTGTTGTGACTTATCCAAAATCAGGTGAAGACCGGCGTGGAAAGCTGGAAACGCAAATGTTTTACTTTTATGTATGGATAATTTGGTAAGTTAATGAAATAATCATTTGCAATGTATTTTAATTTAAGGGACAACATGGATTTCGGAGATCTTGTGGCAGGTGTATAATGACGGTGCAGAAAGTACCGCAATGATTTTTGATCGGGTTTCGTTTTTGGAGCGTGACCGACTTGATGTCACAACTCTCCCCAGTCCACGGCTTCTCCATTCTCATCTGACCTATGATGTCATTCCTAAAGGAAAAAGCAAAGATACACAATGCAAATATATTTATGTCGCGCGGAATCCAAAGGACGTAGCTGTGTCATTTTATGAGTTTATGAAGGATTATGGTTCTCTTTCTGGGTTTAACGGTCCTTGGGAATTTTTTGCTAGATTATTTGCAGAGGGGAAAGGTGAGAGTTCTTCATTTGTTTAATCGTTAAGATTTGCAAGAGCAGAAAATTTCAGAACATTCCAAGAGATTAAGTGATGATTAAAAGAAAATTGTCGCTGACAGTGTGAAAGTTGAACAGAAGAGGTATCTGAACCCTTTTACTCTCATGAGTGACCAAGGCAGAATTTCTCCTTACAATATCAAAAGCATATAAAGCAGATAAGTGATGAGAAAAAAAGAAAAATATCTATCAGTGAATTACGAGTTGATCTTGTACCAAATTCTCCAAACTAACATCATATCAATATTTGTGTGGAGTTTGGAGATTTACTATTGAGATCTTGTTTGTGAAATGGTGAGAGGGAACTTCAATAACCTTTAATGGATGAGAAAATCTATCATAGGTTTTGTTGTAGTCATAAATACACACACCAACTCAATTGGGGGTAATCGCTCGCTGATCGCAAAGAGAATGCTGACAAATATGCCAACTGTTCGCTTATACCCGCCGGGCATGGCGTAGAATTTCCGCTGCGGTATTTAATTGTGATAAACAAGTCTATCACCCACTTTAAAAAAGGCTACACAATTCAAGCATGATGTCTCTCTCCCCTCCCCTCCCCCACCTTTTTCCACTCCAGCCCCCCCCCTTGAAATGTACTTCCCTCTTCTACCGATAGGTATATTCTGCTATAAATTATGTGTAGAAGAAGTAGCTAAGCTTTGAATGGGTCTGATCATAATTTGAAGAATAATTTTAATGGTTTTACTCCAGTGGTATATGGTCAGTGGAGTGATCATGTTCTAGGCTGGTGGAGTCAGAGAGAGGATCCAAATGTCTTATTCCTCAAGTATGAAGACTTGATTAAGGTTAGATTCTTATTAATGAGTTTTTATTCTTTAGACAGCAAAAGTAGAATAATGTCAAATAGTGCAGTGTATTAAGATTATATTTTACCATCATATCAGGTTGGGGCTGGCCAGTCTTAACTTAGTCCCAGAGGTTTTCACTTACCAGGTGGTTTCTATTGCAACAATTCTTAGTGTATAACATTTGATTGGTAAAGCCCATTGTCACATGACCATAGCATGCATTCTCTGCTTTTGACACTCATTTTAAATGGGATATGCAGTTTCCTACATTTTTAATTTTTTTTTCCTTAAAACAGGTTTTTTTTGTTTAAGTAATCTTCTGGGTGGCTAGAGGTACTGTGACAGATTTTTTGTCATATATACAGCATCATGTATATAAACCTGTAATAAACCTGTGAAAGGCTCTGCTCAAATGGTCATAGAACCTTGAGTTATTTTCTGTATAATTCTCCTTCTCTTGTAGGATTTGCACAGTAATGTTTGCTTAATTGCCAAATTCCTTGGTAAAAAACTTTCAGAAGATACAATTAAAAAAATTTCTGGACAGTGCAGCTTTAATGGAATGAAGAAGAACATGTCAAATTACTGGCAAGAACGTACAGCTCAGGGGCCAAAACTGTTACGCAAAGGAAAGATTGGTGATTGGAAAAATTATTTCACCCAGGAACAGAATGAGAGGTTTGAAAATGAGGTTATGAAGAAGCTGATAGGGACTGGGCTGAAATTTGATTTTGAAGATTGAACTGATTAAGATTTTGAAATGATGTCTACCTTTGGTATTACTTTTTACAGTTGAATATAATGGGAAATTTAATTTCTAAAATTGAACTGTTGTGTTGGGTGGATAGGGGGTATTACAAGATAATTTGGTTTTATCAAGTAAGTTGATTATGTAAATTGGCCATGGCAAAGAGTGTTTAAAGGTGATGTTTTGACCATTAGCCTTAACCATTTTCCCTGATGAAGGACTAATGCTGGAAACATCAGATGGTCAAATTATCATGTGTTTACAGTTACTGTAGAAATGTGCTGGCCACTGGTTTTGTGGAATAAACATATCACAAAATGTGAATTGACTGCTGTAAAGTGTGTGTAAAGGTGATGTTTTCAGAGTCAGCCCTTTGTCATTTGCCTGATAAAATAATGCTGCAAACTTCACATCATCCAGTTAACTTGTTTTTACAGTTGCTGTAGAAATTTCCTGGCTGCTGGTTTGGTAGAATAAACATATCACAGTTTTTATAAAGTGTATTTTTTATTATTAAAAACTGGATTATTGGATAATGCAATTCAAGACTTTTTATTGGCTTAGCCATTATGGTATATGAGCCAATATACCCTAATCTAATATCTGTACTTTGTAATATCCGGTTTCTTCTTACAAAATTAAGTCGAGAAGATTTGTCTAATATCTCAGGGGCGTTTTTTTAATAAAACAATTATTCCACTCGCGCTCATTGGATATGAGATGATTATAGCCAACTTGGCGCTATGCGCCTCGTTGGCTATCTATCATCTCATATCCAAGGCGCGCTCATGGAAAAATTGTTAATTATACACTCTAGAGACTAGAACTGTTTAGAAAGGGGGAACAGTAATGGGTATCACAGGAACAGATGCTAGTTTTAAATATTATGAATTAAAATTAATTTGATTATTATATGTAAATAGTATTTTTAATTTTATTAGGTGATTTCTGTCACAAATTATTTAGTTGTGGTAAGTCCACATTAGCTTTGAGTTGCAAACTTTTTTTACCTACTTTAACAAATAACATTATTTAGGTATGGTTGTATAATTATAGATTATTTTGACATAAGAGTACAAAAAGTACTCAATTATAAGCCACTACTTTGAGGAAGATATTAAAACTAAGAAGATGTCATTGTAATAGGGCTGAAACATTGTGTAGAATCTCTAAGAGGAGTTGCAAAACCAGCTATTTGGGGAGAAACTTAAGACTGGCTTTCAAGCTATCCTTGGTACAGCCATTCTCAAACTAGAAGTAATCAGCTAATAAAAATTGAAGGTTTCTCATACAAGTACCATGTACAAGTTGGAACAGATACTGAAATCCTCAGTCACTAAAATAAGTCCAATTGACTGTTGATTTTGAAAAAAAAATAAATTGAAAATAGTGTTAGTTAAGGTCTAAACATCATATCTACTGATGGTCCAATACAGATATTGCTGTTACTTTCATGGTTCAAAATGCATAATGTTTCTTAGCATCCCTCTTTCCTTTTATATTTCTTAGCATCCCTCTTTCCTTTTGTATTTTTGCCCATGAGCAGGTTCCCAACTCTACAGTTATGTGTGTGCCACCTTGATCACTCAGGTTCATCAAAGGAGAAAAAACTACTGCCTTGCCACAGTGACTATCTGAGGATGCCAGTGCGAGCAAGGTAAATTTTTGAACTTGTGGGAAGTTCACACATGTGTTGAAGCCGTGAGAATAATATGACATGGAAAGAGAGATATTTCTTTTGAGTTTCTTACTGATCAATACCCTTGACCATGAGGGTAACTCTGTCTCCATAACTAATATCGGCTGTGAGGGAGACTTAGCTCTACCCTCCTAAACTGTATGGTGACATAGAGGATATTACATGGCCGCGAGGGGATATGAATTTTATCTTCTCGTGCTGAAAGTATCTCTCACTCGTTTGCTGCACTCACTCGTGAGAGATACTTTCAGCACGAGAAGATAAAATTCATATCCCCAAACGGCCATGTAATGTTCTGTTTATTATATAGATACTGATGAAATTTCCACATAAAAGACTACTTCTTTTATTCATTTTCGCGCGCGCCTGAGCGAGAAGCTCTACTGTAATTGGGTAACTATGTTGGTAACCGTGGCCACACCAATATCCTCACACGTGAAAGATAAAAATAAGTTCACTGCGTGAGGTGAAGATATGATTTTTTAGTAAGAGGAGAAATCCTGGTATTTCATCAGTATCTATTATTTTAATAAATTATGTTTAGTATTAATGACCTTTGCTTTCTTTTAATCTTATCCTTCGAAGACATTTGGCCACTTTGGTATGGTATATATATTGCCAGAAAAACATAAGTATAAATGTCTTAACAGACCATCATCCTTCACATATGGCTGAACTTATGAATAACGTAATCCTTAAGCTGCAATAGCAGAAAAAGGAATTTGAGTATGTTCCTTGTCAGTGAATTTAGATCTCTTTCCAGCAAGGAAAATATCTGAGCTCTCAACAAACTCTAAGAAAGAAAACTTTGTGTAGTTTTTGAAAAATTATGGGTTTGCAAAGAACAACAATGGAACTTTCTTGAATCTTTTCACACCAGCCAATCAGGTACAGGTTCAAGCTGTCAGCCTCAAACTGAGGACTGATGACTAATGACTAAGAAATGTAATTCTTCATAATAATAACACTTATATAGCGCTTATTCGCATGTGTTCTAAGCGCTTTACATCCATTGTATTACAGTATGACTTAGAAATACAAAAACAAAAGATTAAGTTATCTGATTTAGATTAAAAGCGCATTTAAAGAGGTGTGTTTTCAGTTTAGATTTAAAAATATCTAAACTGGGCAAAGACTTGATTTCTAAAGGTAAGGAGTTCCATAAAAAGGGAGCAGCTACTGTAAAAGATCTAAAACCATAAGACTTAAGGTTCCATTTGTTTTGGTTTAAAAGAAATGCAGAAGATGAATGAAGCTTTCTATTTGGTACATAGCGTTGGATCATTTCATCAATGTAGACAGGGGCAAGGCTGTTTAGAGATTTAAATGTCAAAAGAAGAATCTTGAATTGAATGCGTTCTTTAACAGGGAGCCAGTGCAGATCCATCAGGATAGGGGTTATGTGGTCGTGTTTCCGTATTCCAGTAATAAGGTGCGCAGCGGCGTCTTGAATATACTGAAGCTTTTGTAGAAGATATTTAGGCAAACCATACGCTAGGGAGTTGCAGTAGTCCAGCTTTGAATTAACAAAAGCATAAACCAGAGTTTCAGTAGTCTTCAGAGAGATAAATCTCCTAATTCGTGCAATGTTCCTTAAGTGATAAAAAGCACTCTTGCAAGTAGAGTTGATGTGAGGCACCATAGTCATAGTATTGTCAAAATGTCAATTCATGGGTGTCAGCCTTAACAAAATAAGCACAGTGATACATCTGTAGATGAAATCAGCTTTTTCAACTTGACTTAAATTTTATAATTAGCAAATTAAAATACTTTAGTGGTGAGGAAGCATCAAAGTTTCTTCAGACACAAGTATGTCAAAACTACCTTGATCAGTAAATCGCAGTGAAAGGTCATGTGAAATAGGAAAAGAAGACAGCCTTGATAAAGGGACTTCATTGAGATCTTGATTCCCCTGATCACCTAAACTACCAATATTGTTATTTACCAAAGATATTATGTTTAAGGTGTTATTGTGCTGATGAAGCTCATCAAATGCTTGAGCACCAGCAGAATGGATATTGTTGTGAGAAAATCCAGCTCAGTCAAGGTGGTATTGGTCTTAAGAGCCTCACAAAGTGACTGGGCTCCATCATCATCAATGACATTGTTATGAAGGTCTAAAATAGCCAGAGTGCAATTACTTTTAAGGGCCTCAGCAAGTGACTGTCCTCCAGAAGTACCAATGGCATTAGATGACAGATACAGTTCCTTCAGAGAGACATTAACTTTAAGAGCGTCAGAAACTTTTTTGACTCCATGATCACCAATACTGTTGTGTGATAGCTCTAAGCTAGTCAATGAAACATGAGCTCTGATGGTGTCTGTGATTGATTCTACACCCTTCACCCCAATGGAATTCTTGGACAGGTACAGATCGGTCAGGGTAGTATTAATTCTGAGCCCTTCTGAAATTAGCTGGACACCACTATCACCAAGGGCATTCTCAGCCAAACTCAGAGATTTTATTGTCACATTAACTTTGAGGGCATCAGAAACTGAATGACAACATTATGCTTTGATGTTGTTCCTTGACAAGTCAAGCTTGTTTAGAGTGGTATTGACTTTAGGGCTTTCAGTTATCAACTTGGCACCATCAGTGCCTAGCTTGTTTCCCTGGAAATATAGTTCTTTCAAAGTAGAGTTGACTCTCAAGACTTCAGCAATAGACTTGATGCTGTGTTGAGTTATTTTGATATCAGCTGACAATGACAAAGAAGTTAGACTGGTGTTAGTTTTGAGAACTTCTGCAAGAGAATGAACACTAGTATCACCAATTCCACTTTCTGACAAATTTAATGAGGAGAGGGTTTTGTTGACTTTCAGAGCTTCACATAGTGACAAAACACCAGGATTACCAATGCCTGGGTTTTTCCAAAGGTCCAAAACATTTAAAGTGGTGTTAGTCCATAAAACCTTTTCAAGTGCCGTGGCTCCTGTGTCACCAATGTCATTTCCGATGAGATGTAAGGCACTCAGAGTTCTATTCCCCTTCAAGTAGCCTGCCAAGATCCTGGCTCCATTGTTTTCCCATGTTTTGCCACAAAGGGTTAAGTCAAGCACTGTTGTATTTAACAATTATTCCACGAGCGCGCATTGGATATGAGATGATAGATAGCCAACGAGGCACGTAGCGCTGAGTTGGCTATAATCATCTCATATCCAACAAGCGCAAGTGGAATAATTGTTTTATTAAAAACGTTAAATGAAATTATGAAATTTTATTAAATTTTTAGCTCCCTTTTAATTTTAAGCTGACACATACGCTTGCCATATTTGTAGATTATGGTATATTGGCTGATATACCATAATGGCTAATCCAATAAGAATTCTTGATTTGCATTATCCAATGATCTAGTTTTTAATAATAAGCTTTAGAGCATCAATTAGTTGCTGCACAGCATATGCATATGGACTGATAAAGTTGTCTGCGACGAGAACTGTAGTCAAAGTTTTATTAATTCGAAGCATATCAGCCAATGACTTGGCATGCTGATGTCCAAGTGGAATAGGGATCATCAAACTTAAGTCATTGTACTGTTAACTTTAAGGGCCTCAACAAGCAGCTTAATAGGGAAGCTGTGGTCACCTATCATTAATTTTTGAAGCTCTAGGTTTGTGCCCAATAAATTTATCATCAGGGATCGAAGTCTTGAATTTTCTGTGGAGCATTCACCAATGCACTTAAAAGCAAAATTCAGATAAAAACTTGGACAAAGCTGGGTTTTGAAAAGATTGGTATTCTTGATAGTGATTTTTAAAAGAGACAATGCATCATTTTCACTTTTATGACCAAGAATACCAACTGTGAACAAAAGGACTGGTTCAGTAACCTTTAGATTTCCTCTTTCATTTGCAAGCAGTCTCTCAAAGTCTATCTTTCAAACCAAATTTCAAAAGGGAGATAGACTGGAGATATCTTTCAAACCAAATTTCAAAAGGGAGATAAAAACCTGCCAAGAATTCTTGAAAACTCTTAGGTGAAAATCTATAGTGTGTATGCAATCTTCTTTTGCTGCTGTTAGACTGAAGGGACAAGAATTCAAATAAAGGTGATTTTCTTGTCGTACCAGTAAATTCACCCTCTCTAATATGCATCTCATCTCTCTTCAAGGCCTCCAAGGCACTTCTTCCCAATTGTTCCAGCTCTTCCTTGAAAACACCAGTTAGGTTGACATTATTGTGAGACAACCCTTGCTTTTGGCAAAATCTTTTAAGAATGCACTCTGTGATCTCAAGATACAACTGAGTCTTGCTAGAAGGCAGACTACCTTCTAAATCTTCATAAACAAGACAGAGGATTGCTGTGAGAAAGGGATTCACAGTCAGCTCTTCAAGTTCAATATTTTCTTCTATGTCATTCAAAAGTTTTTGTCCCTCTGCCTCCAAGTCTTTGAAGTAGTGTGTGATGTAATTGCAAGAATTCTCTGAAGCAAATCCTATTCGAAACAAGGCATCACAAAACTTGCTTATCTCAACACTACCCTCTTCCCTGGATGTAAGAATGATGTGACACTTTGAGAGTTCTCTGCTCAGAACAAGGCTGGTGAACAGCTTCATGAGATTGGGAGGTGCTTCATCCAATCCATCAAGTACTAGCAGTACTTGGGACTGATTGTCACAAATGTACTTGAAGAAGTTCTCTCTTTCATCCTCTTCAAAATCTGTGGGAAGTAGCTGATCATCTATGGCTTCCCAGATGTTGTCTGACATCTCGTGACATTAGAGCAAGAGAACCAATTTGATTCTTGGGAAAGAGGGGTCCATTTCTTGACCACTGGCCCAGTCATGCTATCTTTTGAAAGTAAGTTGTCTTGCCTATTCCAGGTTCTCCCTCAATCAGGACAGTTCTGGGCTTGGAGCATTCACTGTGAGGTTTGAAGACTGCAGTAGTGTTGGTCACCTGTTCTGCTGCTGTTCCTCTAGTTTTGTCTTGCCTCACAATGGTTAGCCTGGTAAATATGTCATTAAGGTCAAAGCTGAACTCCTCACACCAAGGAAATGGTGAATGTTGCCCTTCACGTGTCTGTTACAGTTGGCGAATCCTTTCTATAAGTTCAGTTGGCTCATCAATATCTGAAATTAAGGTATTGTCAGTGGTAGGTATTACAAAGAATTAATTTTTATTTCATAATGCTATTATAATTGTTCACTGAATGATAAAAGAAACCTATATGCATCCCCCTGAACAAAAATTAAAGACAAAATGAAAATGTTTCACTGCATGTGGACTTTTAGTTTGTTGTTGTTATTTTTCTCAAAAAAAAACTTATTTTGTTTAATTTTCTTTTCTCTCTTTTATTCTTTAGAATGGGGAGAAAGGGAAAGAGAACCTAAAGAAATCAATGGAAAGGAGGAAAGGTAAAACCTTAAAAGAAACAAAAAATGGTATGAATTAAAAAAAATGAAACAAAAAAAAAAAGAAATAGAGTGTAATGGAAAATAGGATTAATGGACAGGATTGGTAGATTTTAGTTTCTTCTGTCCTTTTCAGTTAAGTCCCCTTCTGTTATCCTCCCTCCCACTTCTCTTTTTTGCCTCTCCCCTTTCCTTTGCACCCCTTTTTACCTGATTAGCAGTTTTCAAATCTACCTTTTGGCAATGGTGTGCTTCTTGAAGCTTTCATTAGTTCTTCAAGCTTCCAATGAATCTGTTTCAGTATGTCTTTAGTGTTATCATCTCTTTTCTATTCCTTTAGAAGTTCTCTATAATGTTCTTCAAATACAGGGTCCATGCATTCATTCTTAAGATCATCAATTGCTACTCCATATGCAGGTCCTCCAAGTCTCACCAAGGCATCTTTGATGTCCTGCCAATACCCATCAAATTCTGCATCATCCACAGATGCTTTATCAGCATGGCCATACACTGTATTTCTAAAGTATTTCACTCGCACAATGTCAGCCTCTGTGCTTACATCTGTGGCAGGGGGAAGCGCATCCCATCCAGTGGCTGGTGGACTAAAGCTACAAATGTTCCTTAGTAGGACTACCAGAAGAGTTATGTTAAAGGTTTTTGATGATACTGTGGTATTTATTGGAGGGTAGAGGTTTCCCCATTGTGTTGGATTTAAAACTCTCCTCATTTGAAGAAGCTGAAGTTTGGAATGATGTGTCCTCAGGTTTTTGTGAAGATTGCTTGGAGGATGAATGCTGTCTCTTAGTACATGACATCCTACATCAACCAGAAGACGGCAAAGTCTTGCGTAATTGGTGGCCTCTTTAGTAGAGGAAAATGAAACTGGAGCTGCAGCTGTGGCCAGTGTCTTCCTGACAAAAAACAATTGAGTAAAGCCTTTTACTAAAGAGGCTGTGATTCATTTATTTATAAACCAATATCTCATACTTCAAGAGGGAGGGGGAAGGGGAAATTAATCCAACCGAGACACTTAAACATTTGGGAAAGTTTCTTTGACGATGGATAAGGTTTTGTTCTGTTATTAATAACATGTTGCGCCTGCAATATGCAGCAATAATTTTATGAAAAAAATCATGAAGATTAATGTAGTGAATATGTTATGAATCAATTCAAAGATCTTCAACTCAGAAGAAGAATGGTACTTTTCCTGAAACATTGAATACAATTTGTATCAATAATTTACCACAAATCAGAGTCAATGTGCCAGTTTTTCGATAAACGTGGTTACCCTGTTTCTGTCGTTCAAGCGGGTTACCACCGCGCCCAAGTTATTGATCGACATTCAGCACTACANATGGGTCATTAGGGAGTTTAAGCAAATCACTACGGCTGGCGCTGCTACGGCTACCGGAAGTAAAATTGTCCAGAAACGAGTCATTGCGCATGTCAGTGGTTCCCATCCAGCCGTAGCGGGAAATCCTTCTACGCGAGTGGGAAGGTTTCGGCGTAGTCTGTGGTACGTGAACTTATCTCGCTTCTTTCTTCGCTTTATACATTCTCCAGAGCAATTTTAACTATTGAAATACACTTAACATTTTTAAAAATAGCTTATCGGGTATATTTATCAAGCTTGCTGTCCCTTACCGAGTGAATCTGCCTTTATTTTTGCCGCCGGGTTTGTCGAAGGATCGAAGCAGTGTGCACATGGAGAACGCAGCGAACGCAAGGAGAACTGCGTAGGTAGAAAGTCTAACTTTTCCTTTTCAAACCTCAAAGACTGCTTGAAATTCAAATAGCTGAAGCCGAGGAATGACGAGGGTTATGAGGGACCGTGTAGAAACGTTGCTTTGGTGTTTATAAGCTCCAAACTGGCAATTTTACAACACGTAAGCTGATATATTTTAATTCACTCATTCACTGTGCACAGGATCGCTTACAATTCTTTTTTCCAAACGTTAGAATCCCTCGTCCCTTTGAACGAAGTCATTTTGAGTTTTTAGACGTGCAAAAACTACCGCGAAGACGCTTAATTTATTGGTTTTAAACTTCTCAGCCCTACTAGGTTTGTAGTTCGCGTTGCTTAAAGTTGAATTTTGGCGGGCTACGGCGACGTACTCTCCCCAAGCCTCGTCAACCACGATAGCCGTAACAGCGCCAGCCGTAGTGATTTGCTTAAACTCCCTATTACCACGGTTGCACCTCGTATACGGGATTCCTAGAGCGGAGTTACTTCTGCGATAAGTTCAACCGCGGATTTGACCATGACGAGTTCAGGCACCACCCATGTGAAGGCTGGCGTTGTAAAGCCTGCAAAACCATAGAGTGTGGCTCCAAATCGCATCACCCCACCCTACTCTGCAGTCATTGTAACCGCCATTTTTACGATGAAGCCTGTATGACCCTTCACCGTAGCCAGGGGTTGTGCACCACATTTATACGCTGCGGGATGTGCTGCAAAGAATTTCGTCCCGACAAGAACCATCCACATCGCTGTTACTGGAGCGAACGCGGTAATTACAGAGAAAGCGTCGATCTCCGCACCCATAAATGTTTCATTCAACCCGTGTTAGCCAAAGAAGATGAACCCAGGAAAAAATCCAAAGATACCTTAAAACGCCAAAGAAAATCCAACCCCGACGTCTCGGAATACGTAGAACCTCCAGTGAAAGTCTGGGCAGATTTGGAAACCATGCTTGACGAAGACGGGACCCATATTCCCATCCTGATCGTGGCCGAAACATCAGAGAGTGACGAAGTCTTTGAATTTTACGGCCACGAGTGTACCCGAGATTTTCTGGCTTTCATGGACGAATTGGCGTACGGTCCGGAAGAAAGTCCACGAAATAAGCACGATTTCAGAGAAGTCATTGGTATTTTCCATAATTTAAAAGGTTACGATGCCGTCTTTCTTCAAGAACAGATGGTGAAAGAAAAGCGCCGCTTTGAGTTCATCATACCCAACGGTACCAAGAATCTCTGCATGCA